AATTATTGAGATGAAAAACAAGCAAATATTTGATTGACATGGCACGAATCTGATGTACAAATTATGGTAAACCTATGAAGGTTGTTAGCTGAAGTTTTTTTATATGGAAAAACAAAATACAACATGAAATACTTAATCCACATATTACAATTCTCTATTTCAACCAATAACTATTTTAAATATACCTGAAGTAGTAGAAGGCATGGGGAAGGACATCAGCAACAACTGTACGGACATARTGATAGTCAGCCTTATCCCAAACCTGCAGTACATAATACTCATCAATCCCTCAATACAAATCCATATAAATTATGATGGGAAACATGGGATATTCAATGTACGCACCTCTTGTAACGAGACAATATCATACTTTCCAGTTGCAAGTTCTTTTGCAATGTGATAGAAACGTTTCTTGACATCTTTGCAGACAAAAGGAATTGGAATTCCCCTAATAAAATCAATAAAAAACAAGAACATTAAGTTCTTTTTTATTTTTAATACATCAGTCAATACACCTTTTCAGTTGCTCTTAGGCCTCGACAGCGTGTTAAATATTCTTTTGAATTTGTAGGAATGTGAGCAATGCAAACATTGATATGAATAGTCTCATTTGACAAATTCAAAAGAATAATTAACTTGCTATCGAGGCCTAAGAGCAACTGAAAAGGTGTATTGAAACTGCAGCACCCCAACCATGGCAAGATCCAAGGACTTAACACAATTATGTACCAGGCGATTTAATACAGTTTAGACAGAAAAATCTCCAGGAAGGAAATTAATGAGGAAAATAATGTTACTATCATATCGTGTGGGGGTGGGGTGGCATGGTTTCAATAGACTGATGCATATGATGAATTTATGAGTGGGGAGACATCAGAGAGAATCAGAGATCGAAATTGTCGATGCTTTTAAGAGATTATCAGACTTTAAGAATAGATTGGGATCAGGGTCATGTGTAAATCTGCTTAGAAAAAGCCATAATAAAATACAAAAGAAACCTGAATCAGTGGTATAAAGATTCTGGTCCACGCAAGAAAGACCTTTTTTCCCTTGGATTATGGAGTGCTATTTAGCTTTTCTTTCAAAGTTTTGAATCTATTTTCATTTGAGGCAGTGAGGTCATCGAACCGTACGACATAAGCATTTCTAAGTGTTTTTAAAACTTAKAAGTTTTATCTTTCCTTTAAAATACAATATCTATAAACATATCATCTTTATACGACTTATGACTTTATTTTCCAGGCACCTTACCAGCAATTTAGAGTRAGAACTCGAAGAGAAGATAKCTTATCCCGTTCATCCTCCATTTTCAGCGGTCGTGACCTTTCGACTTGTTCTCGAACTCTACTCGTGAGAACTATCGAAATTCCTCGCTTTGCYTTCGGACACTACTCGTAAGTCTGCAAATTTTCTCTCGCGCAATACATGTATCTATATTCTAATACTGATTTAAGTAAAACAATGGTTTCTTTTTTTTTAATTTCGTTTCATTTCAGTTAAACAAGACTAAAAAATTAGGGAAATTTTAAAGTTTAAAAACGTTGGTCTTGGGTATCCTTTGTACTATGGCACGAGGAGATCTGGTACGAGTATTTTTGTTTTGAAGTCGGTGCAATGAACAAGATGCCAAAATAGTCATGAAATATGGGGAATTGCTATGACTGTTTGAGCCCACAACCTGATACAACACCAGATCCAGTAAGTACATTTATTACTGCATCATTTGGATGTATTTTGATTTGATAATTTTGTCGATTTGCTCGRCTAGGATACGAGAAGACAACAGCAAATTGAAGCTGCAGAAAGACGACAAAAAGAGGTGGGTGGATTTTGATTAGCCATTTATTTTCCATTACATTRGGGCATATAGTTAATTGTCCTAAACAATGACTCGTAATTGGTATAGATGCTATTTTACTTTGCTGTTTTAGGCAGAGAGTAGGGGAGTCAAAGACCCAGAACGACTAAAACGGCAGCAAAAACGAARGGAAGAAGCTGAGAATGCAGCGACAGCTCAAGGGAATAATGATGGCGGACTCAAAGTATGTGCATTTATGTTGGRTTGTTCTCGCAATTTGCAAACAAATACGGAAGTCTCAACAAATGTTTTCAGGGCTTTTCCCTTGGCCTAATAAGTGTAGGGGAAAACCCATCATTGGTGGTCTAAATCAGCTTTGGGCGTGAACCTGTGAAAAAAACAATAACCCTAGGTTAGGGACGACCCATTAGAAAAGGGATGGGGGGGAGGCAGGGGCAACTGCAAAAAAAATATTCACTTTTCTAATGGGTCATCCCTTAGGGATCAAGTTGCGCAAGCAGTCTGGTTTTGCGCCACATCAAGGCAAAATCGGGCACTAACTAAAAAGTTGTCATTGAGCCTGTTTATCACTTTGCAATGAAAGGAAAATATATTTTTTTGGTGAAAAAAGTCATACTTTTGATATTACTTGGTTCTCTTGTTCATTTGAGAGCTGCAGCAAACAGGTTGCCCTCTTTGACTTTACCACGAAACTGTGTCTATTACTTCTTTGTTCTGCTAACAGTTTAATCTTATGATATTAACCATAATATCTTCTCAAACAAAAACAAAAACATACCTTTTTATGGAAATAGACATGCTGAATGTGTCTCGTCAATAGTGCTATAGATATGCTTAGCCCAGAACTCTGATTGCAGTTAATCCAGTCTTGATATTTGAGCCTTGCACTGCATGCTTGTTAATAGTGCAATGCAGAATAAGGCTCTTTGCCCYTGTATCCTTCAATATTTTCACTAACTTCGAGTGCCCTTTCACCCTAGGTCATGTTTAATATGAAGAACTCCCTAAAGAAAAACCTGTATCTGCCCCATTGCTCCCATTTATACTGAAACTAAGTCTGTTGTTTTGTTTTATCTTTCAGTGGACTGTTGGCTAAATCATGAGGAATCACAAAAAAAAATGTTTTGTTTGACGTATAACTTTTGCATAAGAAAAAAAGGGCATAGCTGTCAACTTGTACATTTGCCAAAATTATGGAATTCAATTGAAAATTAAGTTAATGAAGACAGTGTAAATAGCTCTAGAAATAAAAATAAAATAACAAAAATCTGAGCCAAAGTGTACAATTGTTAGTTCAAAYAATAAACCAACAGGAGCTRGCTGTGCCATCTTGGGTGTTGTGAGACAACTGGTGATCTAGCAGTGATAGAGATACATGCAAAGAAGGAATCTTTCATTGCTGGATCACTTCAAAGCAAAGGCATAACTATATTTCATAATAGTCTCCTTCACAGTTACTTAGCAYCTTGAAAGGTAGCCGTGCCTTTGCATCACGAGTGAGACAACCATTGAGCATGCAATGATAGATACCAAGAATAATTGTCTGTAGGTGTGAAAGAAGGTTTCTATCATTGCACGCTCAACGGTCGTCTCACATTGATACAAAGGCACAGCTACCTTTAAGATGGTGCAGGTTAGCGTGAAGGAGACTTGCATAGCAAACTACAAAGAAGTTGAACTGCAGACTATTTCTACCACGTGCACAAAATGGCATCAATGCACATTGCCTGTTACATGTACCTCCACTTCTGATAATAGAATACTACACATTAAATTCAACTAAATTTAATGCGGAATAGACATCTTGGTTTTCATAGGACATTTTTCCTCAAATGAGAATTCTTACAATAGGTTCTACCAGAAACCTATAAGGGACTTGAAACGTGTAACGATGTGCCAACCGTTGGAATATTCAAATCTAATTCGCCTTATTTGACCTTATTTGGAACAATTAAATTTACCCTATAGCCAACCAGAACGGGCCTTAAATCTCTTATTCAACGCCCGAATTTTCCAGATATGGTCATAACGTTCGTTTTCAAATTTTTAATGAGCTTTGAATATTCTGACGCTTGGCACTAATGAAATGTATGGGCGTTACACGTTTCAAGTCCCTTATACGTTTCTGGTTCTACCAAGTCCTTGTTGTCAATTACCTAAAACTACATTACATCTATCACCAAAAATTGATTAAAAATATTATTAAACTATTATTTTCAACTATTATTTTGTTTTGTTTTTTATTTGTAAAAACATACAGTAATGTTTTAAGATTTTTTCCTTTCACATTCAGTAAATAAAGTACATATCAATATTATTTCAT